GGGTCGTGATGACTCTTCCATCATGTGAGGATAGTAGTGAGATAAGAACTGATAAATTTATTAATAACAGCACTTCAGTGGAAGAAAGACTGTTGTTTTCCAACGTTGCCGTCCCAGAGGCATGAACATTTCTGGATAGCTCAGACAGTTCCGAGGAGAGGTGTGAAAATATGGAGGATGGAAGGAAAATCCTGGATCTTGATAAACACCCTTAAGGGGCTACATTACAGTGTAGACAAAAAAAACAACGCTTACACACTTTCGGGAGAGGGGGAGAGGGGGGGGTTGCATATAATGGCAAGATAATACCAGGCGTTTCAAAACTCCTTCTATCGCGACAAAGCATCTTGAAAGACTTGAGATCTCTGGCGGTTACTCATTCTAAAAATCGATCAGTCTTGGGAGAAAATTTGTGTTTTCGAATAGGAGTGAGATTCAGCAATCCACAACTATTTTTGTTTTCATTTTAAGATTTACTTAAGCATCCCTAGCTTACGGAAATGTTAGTGCCGACGAACTAAGTGCCTTTTTTTTCTACAGTAATGTCTCTACTCGCGAGCAATCGATCTATGCACATTATACTGAGTGAAATTTGGTTCAGGGTCACGACGTCGATGAGCTTTGTGCAGGTTTGCCGTTTCATCAATTTTTGGCAGTTGTGACCAATAACATATAGATTTAGCCAAGTCTAAAAGTGGAGTTCTTGTTAATTTATTTTCCAGCCCTTCGTTGTAATAAAAACAATAGGGCTAACCATACGTGAAAAAAGGCGAAAAAAAGGCGAAAAAAAGCCGATAAGCGCGAAAATTGACAAATTTTAACCGTTAATCGTAGATAAAGTTAACCGTAAAAACTTTTCTTTCAATCACAACGTAAAAGCCGTTAAAGCCATCACCCCACTGAGACCCTCTTATCTAGGTGGTTCTGTGATTTTTTGGAACCACGATGCCCCCAATTTATCGCTTGACTTGTTTTGTTTAGATGTTATTTCTGTGTGCGCGTTTCTTTGTCATTTTTAGACGTGATAGTCCGTAAATGTCGGACCACGTCGAACAGGCAGGTTCACTGATTTGGCTCAAATTTTGCATGTTAACTTGGTTAGGGGTTCTTATCACGAAATGGATATTTTAAAGATTGAAATTTATTTTGCGTAGGAAATTAAGGTTCTCGACCATTTGGAGTTCCTATGGGATGTGGCAACCAGGCTTAAAACAAATCAGCAACTATTCCCCTGTGTTTTGAATGCAAAATTTTGTAGAAAAATACAAAGGGTCTGCAAGGTCTGAGTGATGTTTTGCTTTGTTTTGTTTTCGGTATCAAATGGGGTCTTATAAGAATTTGCTAGAGTTTTCAACATTTCCTTACATCCGGCAAGTCCCATGGAAACAGTCCGTCTTGATCTCTCCCCAGATTTCTCTCGCCAAATGATTCAATGTGGCGCTTTCATATAGTGTGACGAGAAGGTTGTGATCTCATCGCCTGTATGTCAAGTATCGAATCCTGGGCCGGATACGCCGTACTTAGCCTACTGATTTCGTCCAGAAATGAACCTTTTCCATGGAAAAGAAATCGTGGACGCTCACATACGTGAGTATACATACACAGATTGCAAAAACATTGCGTACATATAACAAACCACTGGCGGCCGAAGCTTTAACTGTGAGATGGTCATCTAACGAAATAACAGCCATGGCAAAATTATAAGAATTTGACATAGTTTGATGCTCCACTGGTTTGCAGATTTAATGAATGTAACCGAAGAAATTACAATTCATAGACCCAACGTTTCGACACTCCTGTCTAGTACCTTCATGTTATATGATATTATTTCTGCGGTATCCGGAAATGAAGCGGAGCGCCTCTTGTCGCATTTGAATTCAGTAGAGCCGTCGATCCAATTCACCCTTGAGCGTGAAAAGGATCAACATTTTCCCTTTCTTGATTTAAATGTGTCCACGGTAATTTAGAGACAAGTGTCTACCGTAAACCCACCCACACCGACAAATACCTCGCTTTCGATTCTCACCACCCTATTTTCCATAAAAAGTCTGTAGCCAAAACTTTACTTAGGAGGGCTGACTGTCTACCATCTTCGCTCAATTCGAAGGCTGAGGAGAGGGAATATGTTTCCAATGTCCTAAAGGCAAGTGGCTATACAAAAACTTTTCTCCGTAACTGCCAAAAACAGTTACAAATAGTAACGCTCTTGATGAAAGGGAACCAGTGACTGGTTTTGCTGTTATTCCTTACATACAGGGTGTTACTGAACCCATCAAGAGAATTTTGAATAGCCACAACGTTAAAGTTGCTCAAAAACCTTTTCAGTCTTTGGGGCATATTTTCGCCAAACCTAAGGATCCTGTCACGAAAGAACAACGAACCGACGCCATTTATTCTATTCCTTGCAATGACATAAAAGAGCACCAAAAAGCCGTTTTTCTTTGCAAAAAGGAAAATTCAGCTTTATCGGAGCATACTTGCCTAACC